TTGATGAGTGTCGATGAGGAGTGCAGTCACTCCTAGGTGACATAAAAACAACTTGAGTGTGTAGGCGGGGTCTGCGTGACAAAACCAGCACAGTGGCCAATGAAATCCAGCACAAAGAAAACAGAAGTTAATAGTGATAGCTTTGCCAAATGTGTTGCAGCTTGTACAAGGACAACAGCCAAAGGCGTGCGTGTTTTGTGCCCTTACATACTAAGTTATTGACTCTGTGCAGTCATGTGAGACGTTTAAATGTTAACAGAGCTGCATCAATACAATACAGTTTTGTGAACACAGTGAGGTGTTTCGTGGTCATGCCGTCTGCAGGCTGACCTGAAATTACCAGAGTCAGTCAGTACAAAGATAAACCACTAGAAAAAAGAGATACATTACCATTTGAATTGGGCTGACTCAGCATGTCTATATAGACATTGTTCAAACTGCATTGCATTTTAGAAATAGAAATATAGAAAAATAGTTTTGTTTCTGGGTTTTCTGTTTCTTGAGTCTTGTGTGTCAGTATTCATGTCAGGTACACTAAACCCACAGAAAAATATACTCATAACCCCCTAAAAGAAGACAGGTTCTGCTGGGAAACCAAAGACCTGGCAACCCTGCACTGCTGTATCATAAACACAGACTCATTATCTGGTCATGTGATGGTAACCTTATCATGGTTTGTAGTCACCAGACACATGTAGTTAGCCACTGCTCCTATGTTATACCATTATTTTAACGGGGCTCAAACTGATCGTGTAATTTCTCATCAAAACTTGCCATGACATTCAAGACATTTCAAGACCTTTAATGCTTCGCAAGAATCTAAAAAACCTTGGCCAAAGAACATGATAATTACACTACTCGGGTTCAAATTGTTAACAATGTGTTTCGTGTTTTTCTGTCCCTGTTCTTACAACACAAGATCTGGCTTGTCTAGTTTTTAAACATGGCAGCGTGACTTAACGAAACAAATAAAAAGGGCTCAAGGAACTGGTTCACGAACGGTCAAAAGGTCATCTCTTTTCTTACCTGGTCTGGATTATTTCTGTCGTCTGTGTGGACCAAATACCGATGCTTGAATTGTTTGCTGACAGCTTGTCATCACTCGGGGTGTTCCATATGAAAAGCGCTGACACTCAGGTGATAAATTCTGTAGGGCACACAAAGTAACAATTAGAATATAATGATAGGATGTTTGTCTGTGTTAATGAAACTACACCTAACAACAAGAAATAACTCAATGAAAACATGGAAGGTGGGGTCAGTTCTCTACACCTTAAAATGTTAATTACATCTGTTACTTCTGAATATTGGTCCAGTGTGTGACTGGGAATGAACAATAAGTGACAACTGATTTGAGAAAGAGGCTGTTTGCAATTAAATGGGTAAATGGAATATAATGTTGGCTCTGTGCCCATCAAGACCGAAAAAACAAATAATATTCTGAAAATTAAAAAACATAGAAAGATCTAACATCCACATTTTTGTTTAATTTTTCTGCTGGCAAAAGGTAAAATAACAGACATTTTTGTTAATTTTTTTCAAGGACACAGTTCAAATCCCTGTGCCACTGCATTGATCGTCAAATCCAGAGCCCCTGTGAATAATCCATACAACATATCAAGCAAGGAGCTGGCCAAGGATCTGGTACAACTGACAGTTTTACAAAAAATGATAAGCAATGTTTTATTAAGTTGTTTAAGCAATGTTTAAGTTAAAATTACCTTATTGTTACTTTTCCATGTCCTCCTTTGAATTCCTCAGGTCAAGATGGAGAATTCAGACACGAAGCAAAAATACTCGTTGCACCATGGTCCGCTGTCTGGTATATTTCTAGAGAACACAAAAGAGAAGATAACAATATATCAAGCCATGAAAAAACGTCTGCTGAAACCAGGAACAGCCCTGGCTCTGCTAGAAGCACAGGCGGCCACAGTGGGCATCATTGATCCAATAAATAACAGAATACTTTCTATTGTTGATGCTGTTAGAGAAGGAGTTGTTGGCCTAGAGATGAAAGAAAAACTTCTTGCAGCTGAGAAAGCTGTCAGTGGTTACATAGACCCCTACACCAACCAAGTCATATCCTTATACCAAGCAATGCAGAAAGATTTAGTCTCCAGAGATTATGGATTGAGACTGCTAGAAGCACAGCTGGCCACACAAGGCCTGGTTGACCCCACAGAGAAAAAAGCCATAGCCATTGACGAAGCGATACAAAAAGGTTACTACGAGAAGGGATTGCTCAATGATAAAATATTAGAGCTTGGAGTGTACTATGAGCCAGGTACACAAAAAAATCTTACCTACCAAGAACTGCTGGAGAAGTGCACTGTTGAACAAGAAACAGGCCTGTTGCTACTTCCTGTCTGCATCACCTTCAAAGGTCTAAGAAGAGGAATTTCCTCCACTGAACTCTTTGAATCAAAGATCATCAACAAAGAAACTTACAAAGACCTACAAGATGGAAAGACTACAACACAGAATGTGCTGTTGATGGAAACGGTGAAAGAATACCTTGAAGGCAAAGGCAGTATTGCAGGTATTGCTATTCTCTCATCAAACCAGAGAATGAGCATTTACCAAGCCATGAAACAAAGAATACTGATGCCAGGAACGGCCTTAGTTCTACTGGAAGCACAAGCTGCAACAGGTTTTATGATCGATCCAGTTGAAAACAAAAAGTACACTGTAGACGAGGCAATCAAATACAATCTCGTTGGGCCAAAATATCACGCAAAACTCCGTTCTGCTGAACGTGCAGTAACTGGATACAAAGATCCATACACAGGTGAAACCATATCTCTGTTTCAAGCACTGTCCAAAGACCTAATTGTAAGGGAGCATGGTATCCGCCTACTTGAGGCACAGATTGCTACAGGTGGGATCATAGACCCAATCAACAGCCACAGACTTCCAATAGACGTAGCATTTCAGAGAGGCTACTTTAACGAAGAAATGAACACCATTCTCGAAGATTCAGGTGATGACACAAAAGGATTTTTTGACCCAAACACAGAAGAAAATCTTACCTATCTGCAACTGATGGAAAGGTGTGTCACTGACCCTGTCACTGGACTATGCCTCCTGCCACTCCATGACAAAATAGAAAAAGTGAATTTCAGCTTCATTGATTACCAAACAAAAATGTCCCTGAAAGAAGTGAAGGTGAACGTGACATGTGGGAAGTACACGGGGATGACAGTATCTTTGTGGGAACTACTGATGTCTGAATACTTTGAGGAGCAGCAGAGATGTGATCTCATTCAGAGGTACAGAGAGGGTCAGCTCAACATCACAAAACTAACAGTAATTGTTCTGGAAGTCATAGAGAAGTCTGTGAAAACAACTAAAGTTGTATTTGAAGGGATCAGGGAAACTGTCACAGCCAAGCAGCTGCTAGAGGCAGACATCATAACTAAAGATACCCTTGAGGATTTAGAAAAGGGAAAAAAGTCAGTTAAAGACATGCTGGAAGATGAAACTGTGAATGTCTACTTACAGGGGAAGGGCAGCATTGCAGGTATTCTGCTCCCCAATTCTCAAATCATGACCATCCATCATGCCAGGCACAGAGGACTACTGATGCCAGGGACTGCACTGATTTTGTTGGAGGCACAGGCAGCAACTGGGTTTGTCATTGACCCAATTGGAAACAGAAAATTTTCAGTGGACGATGCGGTTAAAGCAAGAATTGTGGGTCCAGATGTCTGTCAAAAGTTGCGCTCAGCAGAGAAAGCAGTGATTGGCTACAAAGATCCATACGATGGAAAAATAATTTCTCTGTTCCAAGCAATGCAAAAAGATCTCATTGTAAAAGACCATGGGATCCGACTCCTGGAAGCACAAATTGCCACTGGTGGGATTATTGATCCAGTAAACAGCCATCGGATTCCAGTGCATGTGGCCTATGAAAGAGGCTACTTCAATGAGGAGATTAATGAGATTCTGAGTGATCCAAGTGATGACACCAAAGGCTTTTTTGATCCAAACACTCATGAGAACCTGACATACTTGCAACTCATGGAAAGATGTGTCACAGATCCCAGTACAGGTCTTTGCCTCTTGCCTCTCAAAGGCAAGAGTACCAAAATAAACATTGATGACAATCTTCGAAAAACATTCGAAATACAAGTTACTGTTATGTACGGCAGGTTTAAAGGCAAGCACACAACACTTTGGGACCTCATCAATTCAGAGTATCTTTCTGAAGACAAACGACAAGAGTTTTTCAAGCTATTCAAGTCAAGGAAAATCACAATTGAGCAACTTATTTCTGCCATTTTAGAGATAATTGAGACAAAAGAGATAAAAAAGCAAGATGCTTTAAACTTTGAAAGTCTCAGAGGAGTAGTGTCTGTTGTAGACCTCTTGGATCTCGAAATTGTGGATGAAGAAACCTACAACAACTTGATCCATGGCCATGTAACAAGCACTGCTGTGATGGAAATGGACAGTGTGAGAAACTACCTACGTGGTAAGAATTGTGTAGCTGGAGTGATTCTCCAGCCTTCCAATAAAAAACTTAGCATCTATGAGGCACAAAGAATCGGTATTCTTACACCTAACACAGCCCTTTGCCTCCTTGAAGCGCAAGCAGCAACAGGATTCATTGTTGAGCCAATTAAGAACCAACAACTTACAGTCGAAGAAGCTCTCAAAGAAAAGCTCTTTGGTCCCCATATGTATGAAAAGCTTTTGTCTGCAGAGCGGGCTGTTACTGGCTACACTGATCCATACACTGGTCAAAAGATCTCACTCTTCCAAGCCCTGAAAAAAGATTTGATTGTCAAACAACATGGCATCCGTTTACTTGAGGCCCAGATTGCAACAGGAGGTATAATTGACCCCTTAAAGTGTGTTCACCTACCCCTCCAGGTAGCATACAAGAAAGGATATTTTGATGCTGAACTCAACCAAATACTGACAGACCCAACTGATGATACAAAGGGCTTCTTTGACCCAAAGACCCATGAAAATCTCACATACATGGAAATGTTGAATAGATGTGTAAAAGATAAGGAAACTGGACTTCTCCTCTTACAACTGGATGATACATCAAAAGCAACAGCAACAAAGACACAGATGTTAACTGACGCAGAAATAAAGCAAGAGCTGCAGAAAACATCTGTAAATGTGTCAGTGGGTCGCTACTCAGGAAATCCAGTCTCTCTTTGGGACCTGATTCACTCTAAATACTTTACATTAGAGGAGCAACTTGAAATCTTGGAAAATTTCAGAACCAAAAAGAGTAGCATAGAAATCATAATCACACAGGTGGTTACTACCATTGAAAAACTGGAGAAAACGGAAACTGTTCAATCCGTAATGGCTATTAGAAAACCTGTCACTGCAGAACAACTTCTGGATTCTGACATTATTGATGCTGAGACATTCAAACAGATGAAAGAAACAAAGGCGGCATTTGAAAAAGTCACCCAATGTGAATCTGTCAATAGATACCTAAAAGGTACAGGAAGCATTGCTGGAATGAAAGTTTACCCATCTCAGAAAATAATGAGTATATATGAAGCAAAGAAGGAAAACCTTTTGACACCTGGCATTGCACTTATACTGCTTGAAGCACAGGCTGCAACAGGATGGGTGATTGATCCTGTCAAAAACAAGTTTTACTCTGTTGATGAAGCAGCAAGAGAAAATGTAATTGGATTAGAGGTACACGAGGACCTTCTCTCAGCTGAACGAGCTGTCACCGGTTATAAAGATCCATACACAAATGCAACTATATCCCTGTTTGAAGCAATAAATGAAGAGCTGATCCCAAGAAGTGATGGCATCCGTCTCCTTGAGGCACAAATAGCAAGTGGAGGAATCATTGATCCAAATCTAAGTCTCAGGCTCCCTGTCCATACTGCTATTAAAAAAGGACATCTAGATGAAGAATTGAGCACAATTCTGTTGAATGACACTGATGATGCAAAAGGATTTTTTGATCCGAACACTAATGAACAACTGTCCTACTGTCAGCTCATAAAGAAATGTGAGAAAGATTCTCAAACAGGTCTACTTCTTCTACCACTTCATACAGATAACGCTCCAGGGCTTCACACAGAGGAACAAATTGAGCTTGCATTTAAAAACAAAATATTTTCCATGAATGCTGGCAAGTACAAAAACCAAACTGTGACACTGTGGGAAGTGATTACTTCTGAATACATATCCCAACAAAAGCGGAAGCAGCTCATTCAACAATACAAGACAGGTTTATTGAAAATGGAGGAAATTATTGAAATACTCTCTGTGATCGTTACTGAAGTATCATCAAAAGAACAAAAGTTCAAAGGACTTAGAAAGCAGGTGTCAGCCAGTGAGCTGTATGAATCAAAAATCATCTCAAAAGAACTTTTTGAACAAATTATACAAGGTGAAGTAACAGAGGAGAATATCAACAAAATGGATTCCATTCAAAAGTATCTTGGGGCGACAACTTGCATTGCTGGTGTGAGAGTTGAATCTACAAAAACAGTTATGAGCATTTATGAAGCTAAAAACAGACGCTTGCTTACCCCGGGTACATCTCTGGTGCTGTTGGAAGCACAAGCAGCAACCGGCTTCGTCATTGACCCAGAAAAAAACAAAAAACTCTCTGTACAAGAAGCTGTAGATCAAGGAGTAGTTGGCAAAGAGTGGAAGAATAAATTGCTCTCAGCAGAAAGGGCTGTTACAGGATATAGGGATCCATACACTGGTGAAACGATTTCGCTGTTCCAAGCATTGAAAAAAGATCTCATTGTAAAGGATCACGGAATCCGTCTTCTGGAAGCACAAATTGCAACAGGAGGTATAATTGATCCAGTCCACAGCCATCGCGTGCCTGTGCAGGTTGCTTACCAAAGAGGATACTTTGATGAAGAAATGAACCAGATTTTAAATGACCCTGACGATGACACCAAGGGCTTCTTTGACCCCAACACACAAGAGAATCTCACATACCTTCAATTAATGGAAAGATGCTTCAAGGATTCTACTACAGGTCTAAATTTACTATCCATTGTGAAAAAGGGAGAGTTTTATTTCTTTGTGGATGAGGCTACAAAGCTCATTCTGAAATCCACAACAACAACCAAAGCCGGGGGCAGATATCAAGGAACAACAGTGTCTCTTTGGGAACTTCTTTACTCCAAATACATCACTGAGGAGAAGAGGAGAGACCTGGTGCAACAGTACAAATCTGGATCAATCACAGTTGAAAGATTCCTGGAAATTATACTGACAATCATTCAGCAGCAGACAGGCTCAATATCAACAACTGTCACATGTCAACCACCAGTAGCCAAAGAAGACAGCAGCTTAACAACTACTACTACTAGCATCACAACTACTACAAGCACAGAGACAACAGAAGATCTAAAGTTCCATGGAATCAGAAAAGACGTCTCTGCCTCTGAGCTCCTTGAATCACAAATCATCACTGAGGACCTTTTCAAAGGTCTTACGTCTGGAGAAGTAACAGTGACAGAAATCAGTGAGATGAACTCTGTCCGCAAATACCTCGAAGGAACCAACAGCATCGCAGGAGTTTATCTGCAATCTACCGGGGAGACACTGAGTATCAATGAAGCCAAGCTCAGAGGTCTACTGACCCCGGGTACAACTCTGGTGCTGCTAGAGGCCCAGGCTGCCACTGGCTTCATTATTGACCCAGTAAATAACAAGAAACTGTCAGTGGAGGAAGCTGCAGCACAAGGAGTGGTTGGCAATGAGTGGAAAAAGAAATTGCTTTCAGCAGAACGAGCTGTCACAGGATACAGAGATCCCTACACAGACAAAACTATTTCCTTGTTCCAGGCCTTGAAGAAAGATCTCATCGTCAAAGACCATGGAATTCGTCTCCTGGAAGCACAAATTGCCACTGGAGGCATAATTGACCCAGTCTACAGTCACAGAGTGCCTGTACAAGTGGCATATGAAAGAGGATACTTTGACGAGGAAATGAACCAGATATTAAATGATCCTGACGATGACACCAAGGGCTTCTTTGACCCCAACACACAAGAGAACCTCACCTATCTGCAGCTTGTGGAGAGATGTATCACTGACCCCGTCACTGGCCTAAGTTTACTTGTTGTTGTGAAAAAGGGAGAGTTTTATTTCTTTGTGGATGAGGCTACAAAGCTCATTCTGAAATCCACAACAACAACCAAAGCCGGGGGCAGATATCAAGGAACAACAGTGTCTCTTTGGGAACTTCTTTACTCCAAATACATCACTGAGGAGAAGAGGAGAGACCTGGTGCAACAGTACAAATCTGGATCAATCACAGTTGAAAGATTCCTGGAAATTATACTGACAATCATTCAGCAGCAGACAGGCTCAATATCAACAACTGTCACATGTCAACCACCAGTAGCCAAAGAAGACAGCAGCTTAACAACTACTACTACTAGCATCACAACTACTACAAGCACAGAGACAACAGAAGATCTAAAGTTCCATGGAATCAGAAAAGACGTCTCTGCCTCTGAGCTCCTTGAATCACAAATCATCACTGAGGACCTTTTCAAAGGTCTAACGTCTGGAGAAGTAACAGTGAGAGAAATCAGTGAGATGAACTCTGTCCGCAAATACCTCGAAGGAACCAACAGCATCGCAGGAGTTTATCTGCAATCTACCGGGGAGACACTGAGTATCAATGAAGCCAAGCTCAGAGGTCTACTGACCCCGGGTACAACTCTGGTGCTGCTAGAGGCCCAGGCTGCCACTGGCTTCATTATTGACCCAGTAAATAACAAGAAACTGTCAGTGGAGGAAGCTGCAGCACAAGGAGTGGTTGGCAATGAGTGGAAAAAGAAATTGCTTTCAGCAGAACGAGCTGTCACAGGATACAGAGATCCCTACACAGACAAAACTATTTCCTTGTTCCAGGCCTTGAAGAAAGATCTCATCGTCAAAGACCATGGAATTCGTCTCCTGGAAGCACAAATTGCCACTGGAGGCATAATTGACCCAGTCTACAGTCACAGAGTGCCTGTACAAGTGGCATATGAAAGAGGATACTTTGACGAGGAAATGAACCAGATATTAAATGATCCTGACGATGACACCAAGGGCTTCTTTGACCCCAACACACAAGAGAACCTCACCTATCTGCAGCTGGTGGAGAGATGTATCACTGACCCGACCACAGGACTTAGTCTTCTTAGTTTGAGAAAGTGATGAAAAACACAAATCCAAGCCATTCATATGTAATATACAAGCCGGTGTAGTTTTTTTATGGTAGACTATTTTTTATTACTATTTTTTATTATTACCATTTTTTCTCAATTTAGCATATTTTCTACAGTTAATCTCTTCTTTGTTTCCACTAAGTTTATTAGAATTAGAGTCAGTTGTTCAATCATTTGTATTGTTAGAAACCTATATTAATATTTTCCTTAGATTAAGGCTTTGTTGTTGTTTTCCATAAAATGTCTTACCTTCATGTGTTTTGGCCCTTAATAATAGTAAATTGTTAGTTACTTTTGTTTTATTTTCAATGATTATAAGATTTTCAAATTCTGAAACTCTCCATGAAACACACATGCTTAATAAATGGTACTCGTATGTACTAATTAATTAATAAACCTAAATGTGATGCACACAGAACTTGTTTTTAATAAAAAAAAAAAAAAGAATTTTGAGTTTTTGCATCATCTCAGGTTCAAACAATATACAAACCACATTAAAAAAAGTCAAGTAAAAAAAAAAATTGACAACATTATATATACCATGTACAGAAATCCAGAAAGAGGAATAATTTTAGATGTTCAATAAAGGAACTACTCCAGTTTGCCCAGCAGCTGGCGAATGTCTTCTTGGCCACAGTATATTCTCTTAACCCCCCTTGGTAGGTGTCGACAGGACGAAAGGTTGAGGTAGCTAAGAGCAGTCATATGATGGATGACTGACCTGTAAAAAATATATATTCAAATATATAGTGTATAATTTTGTAGTGTAGATTTAAACAGTATTTAAACTATAAAAAATGATGAGAAAAAAATGCAGCACATTGGACTGGATCTTTCTTAATACACAAAATTTACTGTGCACAGTTCTGTGTTTGCATAATTGACGCAGAGCTAACAAACTAAATGATAACATGCAGTCACTGGTTGCAGCCTCAGGAGCACAAATGCACATGATATAAGTTGTATATATTTGTAAAGAGTGTGGTGTGAAGTACACGTCAGTACCTGAGGGCCGGTGCAGTAATCCTCGTGCCCTGCAGATTGAGTGAGCGGAGAGTGTCCGACTCTGTGGCTTGAGTCAGGTAACTCATTGCCATCTCCAAATCCTCCTCAGAAAAGAGCTGGTTTCCAATATCCAGCTGTTGCAATGTCTGCTTCCATTTTTGGGTCACCATATGAAGTCCCTTCTTAGGTGTTGACAAGCCAATGTGGCTGTTAAAATATTGTCCCCAGAACAGGAACTCAAGCTCTGATTGATCCAAAATTAAAAGAAAGGAATTAATATCACAACACATTATTTAATATACACATTTCCTTATAAATTGAGCCTAACAAGATCTTCAGAAGAAAGTGTTTAATGTGAAATCATCCCAATTAAACTTTTTTAAAAACAAATTACCAAGATGGGGCAGATATAGTTTTTTGAGTTTGGCTTACCAAGACAGGGTAAATTTGCAAGGCCAGAGGGTGTTATTCGTGAACAGCCTCGCAAGTCAAGCACACGCAACTTTGTGGAACTGAAGAGAATGTCCAACAGATCATTGTCGGTCATGTAGGAATAAGATGTGGTTGCGATACACAGTTCCTCCAACAGAGGGAAGCCTTTCATCAAATCTGCATTTTTATGCTTCGTCTTCTGTATAGGTCGGACATTCAGCAATCGGAAAGTCTGCGGGAACAGCAAGGTAACGTACAAGAAACAGGGCTAGTGTCAGTCATGGATCATCCTAAAAATATTGTAGAAGAAGAAAAAAACTACTACTTGAGAAAATAACATCTTAACACATCTGCTATTACAAGGACAACTATAACACTGTAGAGTGTTTGTAATGTTGGCATGTTGGTCACTGATTGACTACTTTCATGTTTAAACTGTTGGTTTTCTTTTACAATAAGCAGCAATAATTCTTTATATAAAACTACCAGCCCAAGTAATGTAAAACTTAACTCACATTTAACACATTACTATAATTACATTAACATACATTAAAATCTTACTTTAAGTTTAGGGCAGGCAGCCTGCAGTGCCTGAATGCAAATGGTAAGTACACAGTCTTTACTGTCCAGCTTTTTGTTGACTTCCAAGAACTCCAAATCGGGACAACAGCCTCTCTGTTATATTAAAAGAAAAAAAAATTAGTTTGTGGTTATAAATATATTTCTTTTGTATATGTATTGATGACGTAAAACCATATGTGGACATACTGTTAAAGAAGCCAAAAGTCTGTCATTCTTCAGACCATTAGTGAACCAGATCTGCTTCATCTGGTTTCCATGGTTTTCAAGGAACGCCACAAGACCCTCCACCTGAAACTACAGCAAAATGCAACAATTGACAATGTGTGTTAAAAATGATGGCCGAGGAATGAAGGTATTCAATGTATACAACAATTAGTAATGGCTGTTAACCAAGAAGTGGACATACGATGTGGATCCCTATGTCTCTGACTTACATCTGAAAACTGGACGTTGATGCTCTGCAAGGATCTACTGTTGAGACCAAGTATTTGGAAGGCACTTGCTTTGATGCCTGAGCAGTTAGAGAGTGTGAGAGAGCGAAGATGAGGGCAGGACTGAGAGACAACCTGAAAAAAAAATATGAAGAGGTCCAGTTATTTAATGGAAGCATTGTGTATATTTTAATAAACTTTTTCTGAATACTATTATATGTCACGAATAATGAATATGTTTGTTTCTTTTCATCCTGGAAAAGCGTTAAAACACAACAAAGCTTCAGAGACTTACTTCAACCGCATAATTAACATTCTTTGACCAGTGATGCAGTGAGAAATCTTGCAGCTGTGAAAACCTAGTCAGAATAAAATAAAATAAGTTAAAACTAAAACTTGAAGCCTTTCTGCTTAGATAAAATATACTATAAATTTATTTAGTTAATTTTACAAACCTGTTTTGCGTCAGCCAGTCAAAAGTTTTCTGAATTTTCATCTCTGTTTTTGGAAGTTGTTTTTTTCCTGGAGCAATCCAGCAGTGACCTACAGTTACTTTACGCCACAGGATGGGACTTGCAGCTGCGATGTTCCACAGTTGACAAACTCTGGCCATTCTGCACAAATAAATTTGTCTTAGTATTCAGTGAAAACCTGATGTGACTTGTGGAATTACACCACAAAGCAGATAAAAATAATGTCAAATTAAAGGTGAATTACATTCAAATTCTGTACCTGCATAAAAATGGCACAGCACCATCCTGGGTGACAACCATTTGAAAAATATTAATTAGCACCTCCTCTGGTAGACTTTGACCCCATGTGTGGTCTGCTGGTTTCTCCAACACAGCAGTAGTGTCCTCTTCAGTCTTGGCAGCTACTGGATTGGCATCTGGTGTAGGTTTGGCCCTGGCTGTGTTTTTTCTCCTAACCTGTTGAGTTTTTGATTTCCCTTTGGAAAACTTTTTTTTCTTGCTTCCCTTTCGTTTGGTCATCCAAACTGAAGCACCATCGTACAGAGACGAAGCATTTGATATGACCAGAAGCATATCTTCACCCTGTTGGACGGTGTAGCCCAACTGAGCAGATCTGGAGACTCGGGCCTTCTTCTTTTTCTTTGTCTTGACATTTTTCGAATCTGCCGATTTCCTCTTCAAAGGTGCAGTGTTTGACTTTGGAATGTTAGTGGCCTGATTTGATGCAGTTGAAGAGCTTGGAAGGGTTTCATTGTCATTTTCACAGTGGGCTGAACATTGTGCTACAGAGGAATCCATTATATACTGCTATCTGTACTTTACACTATGCTTCATTTCAGGATTGCTTCAGGATTGTTAGATATCTGCAAGGAGAAAATCAGATATTATTATTACATATTACCCTTCACAACAACATGTAAGTAACAATTCACATTCTTAAAGAGGAAATTTACAATTTCAGTGAGTGTTAATGTAATAATGTTAACCGAGATTAAATACAAACGTAAACAATAATAGAAACCGTTCGTTGGCGGTCTGAATACGGAGGAAGGACTGGTTTCGAAAAGAGCCTATCAGAGTGTCCGCTTAGGTTGGGACGTTAAACAAACACAACAACGAGGTTGAACTCGTTCAGAACATTTGATGACATAAGATGGAGGAGACAGTAGACAAAAAGAACCCGGAGACAGAACTACCCGATAATAGCAAAAGAGGAAAACGCAAAAGACGATTACCGGACAGTGAAGGCACAAAAAAGGTTAGTGTTATTCGGGACACTGGAGTTTCGCGTAACAAAAACAGCACTCTATTATATACATTACACGCCTGTATATGAGACCTAAAAATGCTAACAATTTTAAAAATATCAAGTCAGTTTTGCACTAAAGTAGCCCTCTCATAATTGGAACTTAGTAAAAAGTAATGTTGTTGTTTAGCTGTTTTGTTTAGCTTCACCAATGAAGTTAGCTTAACCGAAGCTAATGTAACGTGTGCCGTATACGTTTGTTTTGATTCGTCTTTTGAAATAAAAAACAAGTCTGGGTCTAGGCTTTCAATTTTATCACCTTAAATAAAGCAGAAAAAGAACTTTATTCCGTACCTGTTACCTTTGCGTTAAAGGTTTATTAGCCACCTTCATCCTGTTAGCATCCCCACAATGCACTCCGGCTGTCCTGTGAGTGGTGAATCTTCATCGAAGTCCCGCCCCCAGAACTGTCCAATAACAGGCCGCGGCGGCGACGTCCATTCATCCATCCCGCCGCGTTTGTTTTGGAAGATCACGACGTAAAATATTGTGGAGTAAACCACCGGACGGGGTCGTAATTTAAACTTAGAATAAACTAAAACGTTAATTTTACGGTCACATTAGAGCAGTAATGCCAACGGCATATAAACAGGAGCTTTGTTCATTTCATCTATAACATTAGAGAACACTTTTCACCATAGTTTATAGTTGATTTGATTTGATGTTGTAATTTTGCTTGCAAATGGTTTCAAAGCATTTTTTATCACTGCACACATACATAACATACTGCACACATACATAACCAGTTACAGTTGGGGAGACCAGATAATTCTGTTCTCCGCAACGGTAAACATTAAACCTTTCTGATTGGACATTGGCTTTGCATCAACACAGCTTCATCCAGTGTACTTTCCTTAAATATGTGGTATATGTTAGGGACAACCTTAAAATATCCACAGCAGTGGGAAAACTAAGTTTCTACATTTGTACCACCTTCCAGATTTAACACCCTCTTTTTGGAGGTTAATAGACAATATAATGTGTTGGCAAGTAGTGACAAATACATAGAAAAACTTGATTTCAAAACAAAGCGTCTTTTCAGTTTTCAGAAATCTAAGACCACTTTGTTTTGAAACACAATATCCACAACTATAGGTTTGATTCTTTCTATGATTTGGTCTTTTCAGTTTTCAGAAATCTAAGACATCAAGACCACTTTGTTTTGAAACACCATATCCACAAATATCTGTTTGATTCTTTCTATGATTTTTGAAGATGCTGAAGCTTACCATGTTTTTCCAATTGTGTCTTTATCCAGGAACAGCACACGATGAAGCAGAGAGACAGCTTCTCCTTTGGTGAAGCAGCAGCTGTTAAAGAAGACAATTTGAGTGAGTGAAACATTTAAAATTGAACACACTCATGTAGCCTGAATACTGAAAAACAATTGATCATTAAAAAAATAGGTAACACTTTTTTTTCCCCCCTTTCTCAAGGAGATGGATTCTACCGGAAGCTCATAAGTGATTTCACTGGTCCTCAGTCAGGAGAAGGCTTAGAACTTGAGACCACACCATGCAAGAACAGAGTTTTGATTCAAATCGGACTTCTCAGAGAAGATCATTTTTTGTCCTGGGATGTCGTTCTGAACTGGCTCAAAGCAATTTTTCCTAAACACAACACAGCACATTTCCGCCGTTTGATTGAGAGAGGCATCACAACAACAATGAGTCTTGGAATCGAAGCTAGACGGACCTTTTTGGACTCGGACGTCAACTTTGACTTTGTTGGTCCAATATGTGATAGCATTGGCGTGGAACGAGAACATCTGTTGAAAATGAAGGATTTTTCAGAGAGAGCACAATCTGTAGAAGTCACAAATGGACTGATTCTGGAGTTAAGCAACTTTATCGCCAGAGAGCAACTTGCCCCCATTGTCATTGTCTCTTGGCTTAGAAACTTTAACCCTGAATTTTGTAGCACCGGGAATATTAAACAGGGATATAAAAACCTCAAGTCTCGTTTGAAAATGTTGAAGAAGTATTCTTGCCGTTATGAAACAAAGAGTCAAAGACGGAATGCTACAATGGAAAATTTCCTTCAAAGCCCATTTGAACTGGTCCAAAAAAGAGAAATAAAACGTAGAAAGAAAGATGTTACTAATAACAACAGACAAGTTAAAATCATGGGGGAATACGAGAGCTTTGAAATCATGAAAGTTGACGGCTCCGAGAGCAGAGGAGTCATTAGGAAAACTGTTGTGAAAAAAGAGATGATCTTGTGCAGTGAAGATGAAGATGAGGAGGAAGAGCCAAGCTATGTCACCAAAACCCCAGAGGACAAAGTAGAGGGACTGACGCTGCTGGACATAACAACGCTGTCTGTTCAAAAGCTGTCAAGTGTGTACGGAGGCAAAACTGCAGCTTGCAAGCAGATGTCTGAGGATCTTCTCCAAAACCAGTATTCTCTGATGTGCGTGGAACATCCGGACATGGCAATGTTTAAGGACAAAGTCAGCTCAGTCAGTGGGGAACTTTCAATGGCCCCACCTGTTGCATTTTTGAACATGAACGCCCACTTCCTGGTTGACGTGCATGACGCAATCGAGCAACACATTATGAACTTTGAAAAAGATGTCATGTTATCAACGGGAAACAAGCTGGGCCGCGACAACCTACCCAAGTTTAAGAATTTTGTGAATATGGAAGAGAGCGCCACCTCACGCTACATTCACATGGTTTGTGATATCATATGTCCAGAGAGATCAGATTTCCACAACTACAGAAATCATTGGGTCGCTTTCTGTGAGGAAAAGAGAAACCCGTCCAGACTGGTTGTGAATGAGTCAAATAGATTCATTAACTACTTCGAAGTTGCTGCAGGACTCATTCACCACCACAAGGAGATCGCTCTCTTTTTCTCAGACTTAATTGCACTGGACACTAATAAATGCCTCAACGTCATCCTTGAGAGTGTTGCTGCTGATGCTAATGATTCTGTGATTCAGAGCCTTGTATGTGTCCTGGCCATTATTCACTGCAAAATCTTGGGACCTTACTGGCAGCTAATGAAGAGTGAAACAGAATATTCTCTGTTCCCAAAGTACCTACTAGGTTTGTACCAAAAGTTCCTGGACTGGTCCAAGGAGTCTGTAGCTTTGCTGGAACCTGAAGAATTGCTAAATGTTTTTCTGCTCCATCCATTGCAAGAGAAAACCTACAGCGGAGTATTTGTGTACTGCGGTCAGTGGCACACAAATCGGGACATGATCAGAGCTTGTTTAAAGAGAGCAATAAAAGTGATTGCAGCCGTCACTGAGAAACATCTGAAGGATTTCCTGCCAGGTGGAAGATTTTCTCAAGTACCGTCGCCAGATGTAAGCAGACAACTGGCAAGCTGCACGTTTTCGGTCCTTATGACAGAATACCCTCTAAGGCATGAACATGGCTGCAAGTTCCTAAAATGCTCCCCAGATGAGAACTCTACATACGATAGCTCCCTGGAAGATGATGTCAAGCCATCTTTAGGGTCCTCTGAAGATCTTTTTGGTTTGCAGGATAGAAAGATCCCTAACACCATCCAAAAAGATGGTGAGAGTGATAAAAAAAGTAAGGTAAAAATGTATAAAGAGTTGTTCGAAGAAGAAATTGACACTGATTATGTGATAGCTACAGTGCACAGAAATGGAGGGCCGTGTCTGACGAAGCAAGATCTCGATAAAATGACACTGAGGTTTGACGGCAAATCCAAGGAAGAGAAACGGGATGGGTACCGTTGTGAGATTCTGTACCAGAAATTAATTCTCAACAACACAAGCGAACACCTCAACTGTGTTTTTCACAGTAACACACACATGATGAATAAGCTGAGTCTAGCTCTTCCTCGCGTTAAACCTGGATACTCCATTGTTCTGGCACCTAGAAAAACATTTAAGAAGCCTCTTCACCAAATGTCATACAAAACGGCAGCTGAAAAAATACAAAGCAGCAGCGCAGAGGAGGTGTAGTTCTGTAGGTTACTGTTGTTTAATCGTATTGAATTCCATCAAATTGTGCCAATAAATTACCTTGCCAAACAGTATGACTACACTCTGCTGCATGAGTTCAAAGTTGGTTAATTTAGTTCAGTTTAAAGCCAAAAAATGCATCCAATGGTGATGCATAAAAACACATCCTATTAAATATAGCAGTTTGTTATTGTTTAAGAGAAACTTGCAAATTGAAAAACATTATTATTTCTCTTCTTAGTTCTTCTAGTTTAAACAACAACCTTTGTTTTGCCTAATTTTAGGCCTGAGTTAAGAGCCCACCACAACATCGAGTCTTTTCTATTTCAATCATGACCAAACTCCTTTGAAAACAGTTAACTGTCTGAGGTACTTACTCCATGATCCTGCAGAGGAGCCCTTCGAATGCAGACCCTTCACTTCCGTCCTCACACGAGTTACTCTATTAGTAAAAGAAAATAGAGACAGTATGTTGTTTTGTGGTTAGCAAGAAGAAAAAAACAAAACAAAGTGCCTTAAAGTAAACTGCTTTTGAAAGAAAACTAAAAAGGAAATGACAATTGATTGAATCTAATGTAATTCAATCAATTACCTAAGAATATAATAGTGTCATTCTTTAGTTTCATTTTTTTTTAACATATGATAATGTAGCAGTCAGCAGATATCCGGTTGAAAAACCATGTACTTGTGTTTAATTTCGAAATTTGTATGATGCATTTTGTGACAATTCAATATTTTGACTAATCGTTATTTCTGATAATGCTACTACACCATGGTAACACTTTGTTAAAATGTGTATTTTTGTTTATTCCAAAAATAAAACTACTGTGATCAAGTTAAAGATCAGCTTGTCAACTAATACTGTCTCAATCATGTAGTATAATAAAAACATATCCTTTGTTGACATGTTGTATCTTACACAAAAAACCATTATGATACTGTGGTAAAGCTAATAAGAAAGAGGTTAGCTGCTATGTTGACCCAGATGTTCATTTGTTCTAACATAATTATAATGTTTTGTTGTTTTTTTTGCTTGACATTACAGGCAGTTGGGGTTGCATCACATTTCTGTGTCAGTGGGTTCGTTCTTATGAAAGCATGAACTCCAAGAAAATAAGGCAGTTACACAGTGGTTTATTGGAAATTGTTATATTTTTTCTTTTGAGTAAAATGGCTGTCCACAATGTCGGTTTGATTTAATCTCACTTAATCAGGGATTTAAATACTGCAAACGTATTTTGAGCCGATGGATAATTTAGTCTTTTGAAATGTACAATGACCCATGGAGTCTGTTGCCTTGTTCTCATCGTTACACTGTTTAAGATTTTAACAAAATGTATTTTTCAATCTCCCATTTCAGTGGAAAATAAAATTTCCAAATGTGTTTTTCAAAAATAACTGCAGACTTTCATAACTCCTAGAATCGCCGTAAAAGTGAACAGTATTTAAATTCTAAACCAAAATATGTGTATTCTACATAGAACATTTATAAGACGTTAATAATCGTTCAGTTTACACTTAACCCCCGCTCCGCATATATTTAAGCCACGCCTGTCGCTGCTACGTAAGATAAGAAGCTGAAGTGGTGCGTTCTCGGCTGTCAGAAAAAATCAACAGCAAACTCACAAATTATTAAACAAACGCCGTTAATTCTGCCCAAGTCGTATACATCACATGTATAGACTTAACCAAATAAATAAATAATAGTGCATATGTTTTATGTGTTTTAAAAGCAATATTTGCCTGTATGTGTAATGGTGTTTTGAAGACGGTGGAACGTACACGAGTTACGTGAAAGCAACAGGGGGCGTGCACCGTTTATCCACCGTAGTTACCCAACATATGCTTACTGTGTGTGGAGAGGTGTCCCAAGTTTCCCCTTGTCTTTGTCGACCCCTTGGCCGGAATCGGTGCAACCATGTCCGGCAGCTGGTGGAGCAGCGCTGCGGTGACCCACGGACTAATGGCTCTTTTCGCCATGGGCTCCTGGATCTCCGTCAACAGTTTGTGGGTCGAGTTGCCGGTGGTTGTTTACGTGCTGCATGAAGGTCAGTTCACCCCGTGTTTACCTACCATAAAGAGTGCATTGTCAACTTTAATTACAACATAATACAACATATTCGAATTATTGGAATATTAATCAGAAATTAATTTTGTGTGCATTAACTCTGTAGTAGCCAAGTTAGCATGGTCTAAGCTAGCAGAGCATCCAGCAGCTGTATTTCATTTTTTTTTTCTCTGTAATAACAGTAATACGTTTCAAATATTACGGTAATAATCCGTTTACAACTCACTAACAGTTTTTGTTTACACTTGGCAAACACTGTTTGCCAGTGCTATAAATGTTCTTTATGATCAGCACTGCACATAAAAAAAAGAGTCGACAACTTAATATATTGAATATGCACATAACCGTCATTTTATTATATACACGTTTGCAGTTTACTGTAGTCTTACCAAACCCTTGTGATAAAGCATCCATTATTATCATGATCAGAGGTTGTTGATTATGCTGTAATAAAATTATATTATGCCTGTAGAAGTGAGAGAGCATGAGTGGACCGTGGGGTGAGTGAAATGTGTACAGCTGTCACTTCTGTCTTCACTGATCTCTTCAAATCTCTCTTCAGGTTGGAACCTGCCAGCCTACCTCTCGGTGCTGATAGCCTTTGGAAACCTGGGTCCCATAGCAGTGACCGTCACCCACCACTGTGCTCCAGGACGTTTAAATGAACGTGTGGTCATCCACTGCATCCAGGCGTTAGCAGTGGTGGCATCTGCTCTTCTGGCCATCTTCTGGTCACACACTGTGATCATAGCTGGAGCAGAGAAATCGGTGCCGTTCCTGCTCTTAACCTTCGTGTTGTCTTTGGTCTGCTGCACGTCCAACGTCACCTTCCTGCCCTTCATGTTCCGGTACCCTCCACAGTATATCCGCACTTTCTTCATTGGTCAAGGCCTCAGCGCCTTGTTCCCTTGTGTAGTGGCCTTAGGACAAGGTGTTGGGAAGCTGGAATGTAAAGGTGTGAATGGAACAGTACCGGAATATTTAAAGGAACATTTCCCGGCCCAGAACTTCTTCTGGTTCTTGTTCGTCATGCTGTCAATATCTGCCCTAAGCTTTCTGGCCTTGACACGAAGACAGACGGCGTCTCCACCAGAGGTGCAGAAGACTGCAGAGGAGGACCACCCTTTACAGAACGGAGGGGCTCCGGTCTCTGAGGAGCAGGTGGAGCAACAGGCAGCAGCTCGGACGTTCTGGACTCATCGAAACATCTACCTGTTGGCCCTGCTTGCTCTCTCCAATGCCCTGACCAATGGCATCCTGCCATCTGTTCAGAGTTTCTCCTGTCTGCCCTACGGCACCATGACCTTTCACCTCTCTGTGGTTTTTGGAAATATAGCAAACCCGCTGGCCTGTTTCCTGGCAATGTTTTTTGTTCTAAGGTGAGACAAGAAAAGGAACACGTACGTGGTACAGTCTTCTTTTGTTCTTTGTGAACATTTTGTACTAGTGACTTTCTTCTGTTTCCAGGACTTCTGCAGGTCTGGGAGCCTTATCTCTAGCAGGCGGAGGATTTGCTGTGTATCTATTAGCTGTAGCAGCCCTGAGCCCCTGCCCTCCACTGCTGGGAAATCCTGCTGGAATAGCTCTGGTGGTGGGTGGTCTTTGGTATATTCAGGTCAATGTGTCTGCTTTGTTCGTGTGTGTTCCTGTTGGTGAGTCAGTGACACCGACACATGGCAGTCTTACCTGGTGGTAGAGATGTCGCCCAGGACTGAAGCACTGAGGTGGGGTTCAGGGATGAATCTGTTAGGGGGGAAGAAAGAGAGAGGAGGTGGGGGAGAGAGAGCAACATTGTCATCAATACAAAGCTCTTCAGTTTAACCAATGAAAATTGAAAGTGTCTAAAGACCAACTCGTACAGAAGTGTAAAAGACAAAGTAACAAACCACATCAACGTCAATAAAAGATGTACCCTACAGGACAACAGCAGTACTACCAGCACTTACTGTGTGTGTGTTTGCTCTGGGCTGTAACGGGCCAGGATTCTGCTTTGACTAGAGACGATTCACTAAACAAATATTTACATGATTTTTCAGAATGTTGTGGCTGTGCCCTGAAATGTGAGCAAATATATTTTGGTCCCTGTAACTCAATTGTTTATTTTTAGTGTTATTACTCATAACTGGTACCACCTTTTAAATATGGATGGATTTTTAAACATTAAGTATTTTTAATTTAGTATTTTGCTTTTAAGAGATTCCAATAGTGTTGAAATCAAACACTGGACACCACTAACGCCGTGTCTCGTTGGTGCCCTCTACAGGTGATTTCCTGGGTCTTTTTCACCGGCTTCTTCTCCTATCTGAAGGTGGTCATTGGGACTTTACTTCACGAGGAAGGTCACGCTGCTCTGCTATGGTGTGGCATCTCTATCCAGGCGGGCTCTCTGATTGGAGCGCTCACCATGTTCCCGCTTGTCAACGTTTATCAGGTGTTTGAAAGGGCTCAGGACTGCGTGGACAACTGCAACTTGTAGCATTTGGGTTTTCACTGGAATTGACCGCTTTCGTATTGAAGATCGTGCCATCAGGGGGCGCTAACTTGTGACTGAGAAGCCTGAGAGCAAAAAGCAAAAACAAATCCCAGACAAAGGGATCTTTCTGTCTTAGAGTAAGACACTGCAGGTTCTTTGTGTGATCATTTTAGTGCCTCACTAGTTCAAATTGTTTACAACAGTCACAACAGCTGCTGACGGAGTCTCTTGCTATAACTGATGATTTACTCAGGGACAGAATAGTTCACCTTGTTAACTACTGTTTTGAACCATTTACACTACATTCCCTACAGGACCATCACACTAAAAAGAAGGAAATTAGAAGGAAATCGACTTTTAATCTCTATTTACTTCTAAAAACTACAATTAGTTTGAACATATTGATGATTTTTTTTCCCATCCCAGTGCTTTGACTTGTTTTACCATGACGTCCTTTTAACAGGACTTCAAAGTACAGCACAAATGTAATACACATTTATCTGCAGATATTCCAAAATATTTATTGAATACAAATATTATTCTTCTGAGAATATTCAGAATTTCATGAGGTACAGAGCCGTGTCTAAAGCTACATATCCAAGAGGGATCTGCCCCTTACTTTGGGAACGACCAGACTTCATGAATGATTAAATTTAAATTGTGTCTATGCTGCTACAGAGAATGTGGAACTATCAACATGATTTCTTTTGTTTACCAATTGCCTTAACTTTATGGTTGTAAAGTGACTGTCTTCACCGTGTTTTAGTGCATTAGCAGGCCCATTTCTTTTTAGTGAAAAAGTTTAGTTCACCCTCGGTCTGAAACATCTGAATGTTTTGTAACATAAATTCTCACTAATTTGTCTTTTCTTGCTGTATGTACAGTTTTAAAACTTTTTTTTAAACTAATTTTACTTTCTGAAACAAGTGGGATCTTCCCTTGTAGTAAATGCTACTTCTCATTTTGAAGGTTTTTACTGCGCTGTTTTGAATTTTTAAGCTACTGTGTCGACATCTTTGTTTTTGTAATTTGGTGAAACTGTCGACATCTTTGTTTTTGTAATTTGGCTTTATTATACAGATCTAACGGATGGTGATGGTCAACAAATGTTTTATCACCGCGATGTTGGTGAAACAATAAAAACACTACTGTAATCTTACAGTTGGAGAATATTTGTCAGTACTTTAAGGAGCAACTATTACCAGAATCTGAAGAATGGGGTGTTGATTTTTTTATGTTTCTGAATTACAATTAAATACATTGATTGAAACTGTATATGGCTGTTGTACTATTCATTTTTAAATATTATTTTGTTCATTGCCCACAGGCTCCACTTAGAAGAAATGAGCTGAGAAAAATCCAAAATTAACCAAATAAGAAACAGTTGACGCAAAAGACAACAAATACATGTTTAAAAAACTGGAAACATTCATAGATTTCTAGGAATGAGGTAAAGGGTTAGCCAATCATCATCAAAGTCAAACCAACGAGTTAAAATCTAACTGGAATAAAAACCAACTGGACCTGGACCTGAAATTAAAAAAAAAAAAGGTTAGAAATGGTTAACTGGATAAAACTGGCTCAGAGTTTGACCAAAACTTAACATCTCTAAAGAAAACATTAATATAACTGAAAATGTGCCACGTGTTTTGCTACAATGAACAATATAATCTCAACATGCAATTTCGCAACTGAAAAAACGATCACCTCTGCTCCCATGATGCCTTTGGGCAGATTCTGTGATCCACTCACAGCTTCAGGGGTTAAAACAGAACAAAAACACATGCTAACACAGCATGTGATGATCACAGCTGATGATGATGATGATAATGATGATAAGGATGAAGAAGTGGAGAGCACTGAGAAGAAAACCCTACTCTGACACGGTTGGCTGTGTGGACCTGCACCCACCGACACCGAGGAGGGATTTAATCCCATGGTGCAACTCTTTACTTCACTGCACAGTTTTTCTGACAGTGTCGGCTTGACTACATCTGCAGAAACTCCCACAGAGGACAGCACGTGAGTATCATTAACTTTTACAGTCATCCATATTATTTCAGGGGATTAGAAGTGAAAGAGTTAAAAAGAGGGGCTGGTTTATTTTTAAAAACAAATTTGGTTGTTCTTCGCAGGATTTCTGGACGATTGTGTAACATTCAAATACACCTTTGGTCATAAACCACTGTGATTATTACTGGAATTACAAAAATAATTAGAATAAATAAATAAATCAAAATTTGGTCAACACTTTATTCTTTTCTTTTATTCTCCTTCTTCAGACTCTGATCTTTCTCCACTCAGTTCAGATGTTTTTCCAGATTATGCAACAGTGACCAGTCAGCAGGTGGTCTTGTCCGCTTCACTCTGTGCTTCGTGTTTGACTTTTACCCTCTTGTAATCTTTCAATTAAAAAAAAAGCAGCAATTGAGATACATGGGCAAAAATAAACAAGATGTTTCTTAAAGCTACGAAACAAAAAAATTCTGAACAATAAACATTAACCAGATGGAGGGGTGGGGGGGTAAAGTCTTACATATAGTAAAAGATTATGTCTACAGTAGATTACACTTTGACTTTGTCATCACTGTTTTACTTTCTTTGACCAGCGTTTCCTTCTTATCCATTATAAAACAGGTCCAATAAATGTGTTTAACATCAGATTTTTGTCCCCCCAGGTCCAATAAATGTGTTTAACATCAGGTTTTTGTCCCACCCAACAACAACAACAACACTGTCTGATCCTGGGAACACATCAATTAAATAACATCTAAGAGAATTAGAATGGCGTTTTTGTTTACAGGTCCAAATCATCTGATTAAGATTAAAAGCATAACATATTATCTTTAGCAAATTTGAAAAATGAAACGCTGGCAAATGTCAAATTAGCTCCTATAACTGTTATCGTCATCATCTGAGCAGAAGTCACAGTAAAAATCATGTGAAATGAGGTGAAGCCTAAAGTGTTTTGACTGTGCAAACAACAAAAGCTGACTAGAGGAGAAGCTGTTGGGCTGAATGATGATCCATCCTCCCCATTAAATTTATTATTGCTACTTTCACAGAGAACTGTCCCAAACATGTCCCTGCTCACCCATCTGCTGGCATGTCTCTTTGGTATGGGCTCCTGGGTGTCCATCAATGGCCTGTGGGTGGAGCTTCCACTCCTCGTCCCTCAAGTCCCAGAGGGCTGGTACCTGCCTTCGTACCTGTCAGTCCTCATCCAGATGGCCAACGTTGGGCCTCTCTTTGTCACCCTGATGCACCGCTTCCGCCCCAGAGTCCTGAATGAAACCATGGTCATCTACGTGATAATCTGCCTGGGTACGGTGGCCAGTTTCCTGTTGGGCTTCTTTTGGAAGGAGACTTCGACAGTCGCCGGCACTCCTCACAGCGTAGCCCTATTCATTCTGACGTTTTTCCTGGCTGCTGTGGACTGCACATCCTCCGTCACCTTCCTGCCATTCATGATGCACCTAAAGCCTCAGTATCTCACCACCTACTTCATTGGTGAGGGTGTTAGTGGCCTGTTGCCCGCTGTGGTGGCCCTGTTCCAGGGTGTTGGGATTGTTCAGTGCCTGAACAGCTCACAACCACTGAACCCAAACCTGACGTCCTCAAACAGCTCAGACCTGCAGGCTGAGTATCAGCCAGCAAACTTCTCTGTTGAGGTATTTTTCTTTTTCCTGAGTTTGGTGGGGCTGCTAGCAGTCCTGCTGCTCAACTACCACCCAGCTGTGGCCAAGGACTATACCAACAGTCAGGATAGTCAGGATCAAAACAGTGCGAAGGAAACATACCAGAAACACAAGAGGTGGGACGAACAGAAGCCTATGATTGACCTAAACACACCTACAAACCATAAACGCAGAAGCAGCTTTGGCAAAGGTACTTACAGCTGGATGCAGGTGTTGTACATCTTTGGGATTCTGTGCTGGATCAATGCTCTGACCAACGTGGTGCTCCCGTCTGTGCAGTCGTACTCATGCATGCCATACGGAAACAAGGCCTATCATCTGTCGGCCACCATGGCGGCGGTGTCCAACCCTCTAGCCTGTTTCATTGCCATGTTCCTTCCTGTGAGGTCAGTTTCCTGTAGAAAAACATGCAGAAATAAAACTTACATGCACCTACTTAAAAACATGATTATTTACAGTATAACTGTAATATTGTGTTGGACCATTTACATCAACAAATACTGGGCCTACAGTGTATCCATACATTGGTCCACATATCAACCAAATTAAATTCAAATTTTGAAGCAAAAAAAAACTCAAATAATTCTTTGAGGTCATAAATGATAAGACAAGTGGTTATTCCACTGAAACTAAAGCAGTTCCACTATATTTCTGTTGGTAAAACTTCAAATAGGTTAAGTAACGTTTTCAATCAAATACTTTTTTCTGACTTGCTGAGGAGTTTACAGCGACACAAACATGAATTGCTTTTTTTTAACCATACAGACAAACACAATACTTACTCAAGACAACCATTTCTGTTTTTCAAAAATAAAGATTAACTTACGTTCAACAACATCAATATTAGGGGTTTTTTTATAATGAGCGTGAAAAAGTGGAACGAAACGGTAGCAGCGGGTCAGTGCAACAACACACCTGTCTTTAATATTATTTTAACAACAAAATGTCCGTCATTCATGTTGCGTTCGAGAGCTGCTCGTTAACGCAACAACTGCTCAATACAACACAAAACATCATATTCACCGTTGCATTTGACCATAAACTATTCTGGCTGTTTGGTGTTTATTCTTCAGAACGACACTAGCTAAACAAAACAAAAACAACAGCCAGGACTTAGCTCACACACACATACAAGCAATTAAAATAATAGCGCCGAGGAGTCAGTGCAACCAGGCCGTTAGCTCCAGCCGTTAGCTCCAGGCCACCCACAACAAACAACGTTGAGCAGGAACAAAGTATCACCTTATGTGTTACACTTAGTCGTTAACAATTCCGACTGTTGGTGATAACACGAGCAGAGCAAACACAAAACAACAGTAACGAGTCAACTCATAGACAAAAACAAGCTAGAACACAATAGCGCTGAGGAGCCTTTAGCTTTCTTTGTGCCCGGCCAACAACAATGAACGCAACATTGAGCGGGAACATTTTGTTTGTGACGTCACCACAGCCCAACTTTCACGATTTTAAAAATTACATTAATACATTAAAAATGTTATTATTTAAATATCGAATAAACACTAAAACGGTGCAAACTATTAGCTGCACAAATAATTCAAATAAAAAGTGCTAATGTGAAAACATAATATGGTAAAATGGCGGAGTTTAGAGAAAGGCTTTCCTCGGGCCTACAAACAAAACCTCTGTTGTTACTAAACATTATACAACCCAAATTGTTCATTTAAAAGCTCAGTCAAACTAACGTTTGTTTTACAGATCTCTTCTGTTGATGGGAGGTCTGACTTTGTTTGGCAGTGGAATTGGAGCTTTTATCATGGGCATGGCAGTACTGAGTCCATGCCCACTGCTGGTCAACGAGACCTCGGGTGGCGTCGTCATTGTAAGTAAACACCGTCAAGACGAGTTTATTCAAATACCGTACATTGTCTCAATAGTTCCATGAAAATACGACTATATTTCATGACACAAACACACACCGGGCGGTTAAAGTGAAATGTTTGAAGCACACTATATTTCATGTTACGCTCCTCCTCTTCTTCCTCCTCCTCAGGTGTTCTCCTGGATCTTCTTCATTCTCAGCCTCTCCTACGTGAAGGTGATCATTGGACTGATACTGCGTGATGAGGGTCACAGCGCCCTCGTGTGGTGTGGAGCCGTGGTGCAGCTGGGCTCACTGTTGGGAGCAGTCACCATGTTTCCTCTGGTCAGTGTGTTCGGCTTCTTCTCTTCTGGAGACCCGTGCAACACCAAATGCTCTTAAGTCATTCTTCTTTTTGTGCTTTATTTACACACTGGACATAACTAGAGTGTTAGTGATGACTTTTTGCATTTTCTCTCATTTCTTTTCCCAAAGACAAGATCAAAATATCACATTTAAAATGTTGTTTTTCTTTTAACGTAACAGACATTTTATTTAAGTTAAGTAAGCGTTATGTTATTGACTAGAACTTGGGTGTCAGATATGTTTAATTTTTATTTTTACTTTAATGTAAACTCCTTATATAAATACATGTATTTCTAGTTAAGTGTGTAGTATTAGTGTGTATTACGTCAAATCTAAAGTTGTGTGTGTGAGTATTATGGTCTTCAGTTTTTTTTCCTTTTCCTTTTTCACAATTTAAACTTTTGCTCATTGATAAAACAAATGAAATTAAATGTTAATATCCACTTTAACGGCGATGATTTTCTAATTTTGACATATTTATATTTGATATATTCAAATACATTTCTTTTTTCGCCTTTGTTTTTTTTCCCATGAAGGAAATACTTTTTTATAGCAGCAGATTGTTTCAAGGGGTCGTAGTGACGTCACGATTAAACCTGAACGTCGCCTCATTTCCATATTTCCATCATCATCACAGACAAAAAACACAAAGACGTCGTCATTTTCATAAGATTTGACTGCGGGGTAGAAATCGAAACCATAAAAAATGTGTAGATGTCAATTCGGTCGTTCGTCTTCGACGGCTACATCCTTTTTGGGGTGTCAATACCAGCAGCCGCCAGATGAGGGCAGTGTTTCACTAAGGACAGTTCTCCAATCCATCACAGGAACAACTCATCTTTGCTCTCATTCACACCACCATTCACAACTATGGTTCATTTAAACTGAACACTTGACCTAATCCTGCGTGTTTTTGTAAAAATAAATAAATCTATGAATTAAAAAAAAACAACCTGCTCCATTGTTTTGTGTATAAACTGCTAAACCAGGCTGATCTCAGTCATCAATTCGCTTCTTCCGTACCTTTGGCCACCTCACTGGTTGCCTGGTAGGTTCGTCTGACTTTTTTGGCTTTGGGTTTTCTCTGCTCTTCTGGTTTTCTTTCTCCACTTTCCTTGTGTGAAGAGGTAAAAGAGCGGGTGGACAACACTGGCTACAGACAACAGGAACAAACATACAGGTGTAGCAAGACAGTCGTACACCTGGTCTTCATCATCTGTGCTCTTCTGAATCACTACCACTGGCAGGTAGAAGAAGATGGCGATGGAGAACATGGCTCTCATGGCCACGAAGGCCTTTCTTTTGGCCGGGTGGAGCTTCTCTCCGCCTGCCGCCGGGTTCTTCAGCGTCCTCACGATGCAGATGCTGGACCTGACCATCATGGCGATCATCAGTAGCATCAAGGCGCACGGCGCGCTGGTCAAAACGTCATTGGCAATGGATGGGTGAACGGTGGAGGCAAAGGCTAAAAAGTAGGCCGCGGGCACCGTCAGGATCCACACGGACGCAGAACAAACCTCACTGTATCTGTACTTCTTCAGCAGAGTGTAGGACGTGGGGTAGACCACGGCCACGTACCTCTGGACGCAGATGAACATCAAACTCATGGGACTTCCGATTTGTGCGTACATGACAATGAATTTCAGCAAAGCGGCCTGCATTTCAAGCTTGAAATTATGGGTCAAGAAATGCAGGAAGCACATCCAGTACAGGACGTTGTGGAAGACAGCCAGGTTACAGTTGAGCACGTCGGGGGTTTTGCGGGACGTGAGGCAGATCCACAGCAGCGCCGCGATGATGGGTTGTCCAAACAGAACGGTGAAGATGTCGGTCAGGGACAAGAACACGGACAGATCCACTCCACAGTGATCAGATTTGACTGCAGTCAGATTGACAGAAATATTCTGGAAAAATCCCTCCATTTGTCCAGAGTTGTAGTTTGAAACAAACTACAACAAGAAAAAATAATATCAATTATACCTGGTTATAAATATTTATTAAATTATATAATTATTATTTATTAAAATCCACAGCAGACGTTGGTGTTAAATGATCGTCCTCTGTGTCTAAAAATTAATAATTTACTAATTAATAATATAATGTAAAGTATAAAAATGACAGATATGAACAGTTGTAGGTTGCAGCTCACCTGTGACATCGCCGTGCAGCTCGGATGTTGTCCACACAGATGTCACTCTACGATTTACGGCCTGAACATCATTTTCCTAAAAGACATAATTTCCCTGAAAGACGTCAAACAGGTGCGGAGCAAAACAAACAGTCAGATCAAAACACCGCCCCCCCTCCCCCCCCGGTATCCACCCTCACTCACACACACACTCTGTCGAATCATTAAACGACTGAATCATTTTATCAGAATTACTTTTTAATGCTCGTGTACTTACAGCCACCACTAGATGTCAGTGTTCACCAACGCACGGGAACCCTGTCGAGGTCTGAAGATACATTTGTTTACGACATACGACAGTATTTATTAATGAAATGTGAACGCCCCAAAAAATAGAAGAAAAAAAAAAAAAAAACAACCCATGAATGACACTTAAGATGACACCGCTAGATGTCAGTGTTTACCAACAGCTACGGAGAAGCCTCAAAAACACGCGAAGAAACAACTTTGAATGTAATATGTAATAAGACCAATATGTGATTAGAGTACAAATTACTGCACTCCTGTTGTACTGGTCTGATCCTGGAGTCTAACAGTTCCGGGGATCGGTACCAGGGTAAAAGTTTTTTTGAATTATGATTTTGTTTGTTTGGCTCCGTGTTTGAATAAACTTTCGCTGACTCTGCATTTAACCAGAAAAAAATTTAGGGTTGTGTCCTACCCTGAAAAAGACTGGTGGTTCTCAAACTGGGGCACGCCTACCGCTGGTGGTATTTGGATTTTCTCTAGTGGTAAACTGAGAAATCTGAGTCCCTCAGGATGTCGATGAACACTCTAATAATATTCTGCTAACCATGAATAAATCCTCTTGTACTGTGATTGGTTGAACAGAGTGTTTACATCATACTGAAGAGTATTTAAGGAAGTATTTAAGGCGGTATTTAAGAAAGTGTTTAAGAACCGGTAGAGTATTTAAGGCGGTATTTAAGAAAGTGTGAAGCGTTTAAGAACCAGTGGATAAGACTGTTTGTCCCAGGCCTCGTGGTCCAGTTAGTGGTGTTGCGGGCCTTATGTTGGACTCGACAGGTGTGTCTAGACCTATTTGGACTAGACCTGTCTGTCTGGTCCTTTGTTCCACTTCAAACACTTGGCCGGCTGTTTGTGAGAGACGTGTGGACGCGACAGCTGGGACACAGTGACCACAAGGACGACAGAGTCGAAGGCGTATTTATTGACAAAAATGACACGCGGCGGAGTGAAGCGTTACAGACGGCCGGCACAGAGCCGCTCCACGGTGACCTCTGACCCTGTGACTCCTCTAAAGACTAAATACAAACAGAGCCGATGACGGTAAAGAAGCTGCGGAGGATAAACACGAATAAACACATGCTGAGAGAATAAATATGAAAATACAACAAACTTTAGAGAATTTATATATATTTGTATTTATATATATATTTATATACGTGTGTATTGCTGTTCACTTTGGATTCTCAGGTACATTGCTGATTGTCTACATTCTTTAGTGCTATTCCGACGTGTTGCATAGCTTCCAGGGAGGAAGAAAAAGAAAAAAAAAGTCAAGTTTTGTCCAAACTGAGATGATTTTTCGTCACTGTTTTTACGTCTAATTATTCTGTGACCTCACAGAGTTGCTGTTGTGCTGGGAGAGAGAGTGTAAAAGTTGGTTTGCAGGACTGGGAACTAAAAAGTATAAAAAGTTTGGGCCTCTCAACGGACCAGTACAAGAAACACCGCGGGTTCATCGTGGTTAAGTGCTTATTTTTGGTTGTAAACATAGACAATTTTTCCCATTTTGGTCAAAGACCCAGACACTACTGAAGAGACGGTGCAGGCAGACGACTTCATATATTATATAAAAGTAGGATTTTAGATTAAACTTCATTAATTTAAAGACTTTAAATTTGTGGGGAAAAACTGAAAAAAAAAAAATGTATGACTCCCTGCAGTTCCAATAACGACCACCTGGGGTCGCCTTGAAGACCGCTGATGTAGACCATACAGTAGGAGAACTGGACGTAGGCCCTGTGTGTTTACAGTATTCCATCTGTAACCAATTTTTCACAGTCATTACATTTGAAATCCTCTTTTGTTGAACTCTGTCATTAAAACAACAAAAATCAACAAGAAAATGATTTTTTTTTTAAATCAAAGTTTTTACCTTCATTTCCCACTGACTTCCAGTCGACAGCAGAGGCGTCACACTGGCAACGACGTGGCTACGTCCATTTCCTGTCTTAGGCTGCACATTCGTACAGATCAAGATGTAAAGGAGAAACATATTAAGTTTTAGCTAATCAAGGCTAATGCTAATGCATTTTTAACATAGAAACAAGAAAAAATCTTACACTGTAAAATGGGGCTCAAATATTTCAATTTTAAATTCAATTAACGCACGGTTGAGTCGACTATTACCTGTCTGAAGTCAGCATCATGTGATCCACTAGAGGGCACTAACATGTACTGTAGCTCTTAGATCCCTTCTTTGCTGTTTTGCCGATAGCACGCAAGCTACATAACATCCTCCTGAACTGACAAAAACAAAGCACATGAAAACAGGCTCTTCGACCACCAATGCCTCTGTGCCTGCGCATGCTGTTCACTCTCCCTTCCGTCCCAATAAAAAAGTAGTGCATTTGTTGCTGTAATAAAAGTTTTTTTTTCTCGTGGCATATTTAGAGTTGCTGATCACAGCCTGGTGATGCCTCTGTGTCTGCACAAGAAAAATGTTTTCGCAAACACCCGACCAGAAGCAGGGAACATGTCGATTACTGACACAAATAACCATAATCCACTTCTTAATTTGGGATTAAGTGACTGCTGTCGTACCCTGTCGTTTTTTTGTTTTTTTTAAATCTTTTTGGCTAACAAATTTTTGTTTGTTTTTCGCTGTAAAATTTGGAGATTAAACCTGGAAAAGCACAAGATCTCTTCATTTCCAGTCAAAGGCACTTCCTGTGTGACATTGTCAGATATGCAAAGTGAAGCAGTACAGATGCTGTGTATGTACAAATCCCATCAGGAACACGGAGGAGGCACCGGAACATTTACAAACTTCAGTTAGGAAAAAAACAAAAACCACAGACGGACGTATAAAAAGAAGTTTTGGTCCTGTAAAAGCAAACATTGTTTAGGGCAGGTTCGGTTGCTACATACTTCATCTACACACCTGGAAAAGACAAAGTCTGTCGTGTGATTGGCTTCTGTATATCATCTGCGTATAAAGGCGTTTATATATGAAAACAAAATGAAAAAAAAAGGACAAAAGGAAAAAAAAAGACCAAAACAAGGCACACGTTGGACCCTGGTCGTCTGGACGTACATTTACATTTTCTCTTCTTTGCATTTCCTCTTGCTGCTTGTCACACGCTGTAGTCCGAGCATGCAGAAGCACAGTCAGTTTTTTTTTTTTTAGATTTTTTTTTTAATTTCTAAATGTGTCAGTTTTGAAGGTGACGGTCAGGAGACTACGCGTGGCTGTGGACGGAGATGTTGGACAGGTCGTTCCTGATGATCTCGTTGACTGGAGAGGACGACAGAACAAAAGACAATGTTATCAAACTGAATACAGCTGAAGTGGTCACATGACACATGGTCACATGACACAGGATGAAGACATTCACATGACCAAAATGTAAATGAGTATTAAGACGATGACAATCAAACAAATTAATAATCTTTTGGATTAGTCACAAATGTGTGAAACACTGCCATCTACCTGCTGATATCTGTCATAACAAATTAGAATGGATTAGAATGGAGTTCAGCAGTTAAAAAGTTACATTTGTTTTGAAGAGGTCCAAAACTGTGGCCCCCTACAGGGCTGACAGAGTTGTGCAAGCAAACCAGTATCAGAGGTGAAGCCAGTGTCGCTACTTTTTTGCAGCTAGCTCCAGATTAGAAAGCTAAGTGGCTAATCCACAGTTTTGTTTTGACCACACCCTGTTAGCTTCCAAACCTGCAGCATCTGAACACCTTTCACTGTGTTTATTTTTGAAACCGCTGCTTCAATATTTATCCTTCAGCCTGGAGGTTCTGTTTTCCAGCGGCGGCGGCGGCGGAGCCTCACAGGATGTGTCGGCTCCCTCCTGAGCCGAGGCTAATCTAATCACCTCCTGTCTGAGCTCCCCTGGCTTTGACCATCAGGAGAGATGATGCAACCTCCTCTACCTCCTCCTCTCTCTCTCTCTCTCTCTCCCCTCCTGCTCCCCCTCCCCTGTCGCTGCAGACTCCAGGTGCACTTGTTTATCTGTTTTAATCAGCAATGTTTTTGATGATCCAAGAGCGAAAACACAGGCTAAAAAAAGCCGCGGCAGAAGAAGAAGAAGAAGAAGAAATACAGGGCTGTGAAGGTGTTGATCGCAGCTCACGTCTGCGTGGACATCTGAGGGCCTTCAGCTGTCGTTAACACTTTTATCTGTAGAGAGGATCTGAGTGGAATCTCACAGGGAGAAAAAAAAAAAAATCAAAAATGTGGATTTCAGAGGGAGACACCGTGGAAAGTCAGAGTGAGGAAACCTAAGCCAGCAGACGGAGAAAAGGAATTCCCTCAGACTGACTGGACCATGGAAAAGCATTCTGGAAACCTGAGCCCCCCCAACCCTCACCCCCCCACACACACAAACAGAATATTTAAAAACTAATTGTAATCCCAGGCAGCAGAGAGACTCTTCCCTCTGGCACCGCCGTCTGTTCTTACCAAAAATACCACTCACTTCCTATCAGGAATAAGAAGACGGAGGAGGGGGAGGTGTTGGGG